TGATCTCCCATTCATCACCAAAAAACCTGGGAATAGAGCTGCACCTCAAGTTGTACAGTTCTCACCTTGAGCAAAAAGGAATCTCAGGCTCAGCACTCAGCCCTGACTAGCTCAGGATTAGCAAGCATACACACACACACACACACACACACACAATTGTTTTGATCTATGATACATATATCAGTTGAATTATGGGAGTAAGAAAATGCAGAATAATTCTAAGAGAGATACTAAATAGTAATTGTAGGACTAATGACCTAATGACTTGCAGTGATTGAAAGCTTTGCTGTTGGAGACATCATAATGAAAATGGTCTATTTACAGACAACCTGAAACAACTCTACTATTTGCTATCCTTTGTAAACATAATTTTATCATATGGAGTAGTAGATCAATAAAGACCATAGCAGTATGTATTTTATGCACGTTTTTATTATGAAGGTGATTACAGAGGGGTCACAATTATATGTCAGAGTACATTTCTTTTTGAATAATGTCACCACTTCTCTCACTCCCTGGTTTTCCCTCTTGTTCCTACCCACAGGTTATATAGTTCAATTTCCACATAGAGTCTAATGAGCACCACTGCTATGTATGCTTTTAATTTAATTTAATTTGATTTGATTTTAATTTATAATAGAAGTTTCAAGAGCCAACTAAGACATTAAGTAGCCAGGCACTGGTGGTTCAAACCTGTAATCTTAGCTACTCAGGAAGCTGAGATTTGAGCATCATGGTTCAAAGCCATCCTTGGCAGAAAAGTCTGTGAGACTCTTATGCAATTAAATCACAGAAAAGCCAGAAATGGCAAAAGGGCTCAAATGCTAGCCTTGAAAAATTAGAGTCCAAGACCCAGGCCCAGAGTTTGAGCCTCAGGACCAATCTATACTTCCCCAAACAACAACAACAATAACAACAGAAATTAAGGTAAGTATTTGAAATATTATTATTGTGTGAAAGTAGTGGTCCTCAGATGATGCTCTCCAGGAGGCAAAGACAAAGCTCATTTGAATAATCACTCAGACAGTAGACTTGTTCCAGGAACATTATCAACTCCCTTACTCAGAACTACAGTTAGGTTCATAGCACCAGTTGAGCAAAGATAAAACAGTTGAACCTAACCCTGTGAATATATGCATGTATTTCTATCAGTGAACATCCATAGCCGTTATGAAGAATTGCACTCAGCTAACAAATTTGCTTTGAATAGAATGATGTCATAGCACAGAGAGTGCTTTCAAGACAGTGCAAGTTCCTAGTCAAAGAAATTTAAGACCGTGGCTTGGAATTTGCACCATTTTTCTGACAGGCCTGGGATGTCAACTCAGGGTCTGATTAACTCTCTGGCACTGTTGGGGAGGGGAAACTCACCATCGTTGAAGACAACAATTTCAGACCAGTTTCCAGGGCCTGAATTAAAAAACCAGCACTGGAAAAAATAATATTCATAAATGAGATCTATTTACATCCATGTGTTTACTCCCTATGACATTTATTACCCTTACTTATTTTATATTTATTTTAATTAGTATTATTACATATATAACATTTATTTCATTTATTACATCTTATGACATGGATTTATTTGCATATAGAGTATACATCATACAGAAATCCAGGACTATCACAGAGAAGGAAAAAATGGGTCAAAATTGGCTTTTGACTCCACATATAAACTTTTGGCCATGCTGGGATTTGAACTCACAGCCCACAATGCACAAATCATGAATTGGTCAATTGTAAAACAAAAGCCTTTGGAAAACTGAACTGCCAGCCACTTCTGAGGATCTGTGATCAAGCAATAGTAGTAGCGGATAGATAAATAGATAGATAGATAGATAGATAGATAGATAGATAGATAGATAGATAGATAGATAGATAGATAGATAGATAGATAGATAGATAGTGTAGTTTGCTATGTATATGAGAAAGAATGTGAGGATATTAAATTATATATATTATGAATTATTAGTTATTAAATTATGCCTCCTTTTAATTAAATGAAGTATCATGGTTGAATACTTATTAAACATTCATGTAAAAGTAGTCAGTATTCCTTAATTGGGAGAATCATACCATGGTGCTAGAATGGAAGACATTATCCAATACTTTTTGTGTGGCATTCTGTAAGATAATAATGAATTAACTGCAAATTTAATTGTTACTTTTATACCATTCCATTAGGCATTCCCATGGATAGGAATGATTTTCTTAAGATCTCCTTCCATTTGTAGCTGGCAGTCCAGGCACTTCAACTCCAGGCCTGGGTATTTTACTTCAAAATACAAACCATTTGAAAGACACTGTGAAGATTTCAGATTGTCAGGATGAAAGAAAAGAATGAGAAGAAAAGAAAGCCAAGTGTCAGTGAATCCTACCTGTAATCCTAGCTCTTCAGGAGGCTGAGAGGTAGAGAATGCCAGTTTGAATTCAGCCAGGACAGGAAATTCCACCACACTCTTTATTTCTGGGGGATTACAGGAATAAAAATTCCCATGAAGGGCGCTATGACTCAAGGGCATAGCGCTACCCTTGAGCAAAAGGAGCTCAGGAACATTGCCTAGGCTCATAGTAAAACCCCCGTATCTGCCAATTAAAAAAAAAGCCAGTAACAACATGTCACCCCATGTATGTAGATATGTATTTCTATTGGTGAAGGTCTAGAGTTCCTATGATGAAAGGTATCCAGCTCGGAAATTTGCTTTGAATAGAATGATTTCATAGAACAGAGAGAGTTTTCAAGACAGTGCATCTTCCGGGGCTCCTCTCACTGTTCCCATTGTAGCCTGAGGTTTTCTCCACATCGGGGACTGCTGCAAAAAGTCTTCCTTATTGTTGGAAGAGGCCTCACTCCTGTACAGCTGGGTGATAAAATACTCCTTCTAGGCCCATTAGTGAGGAGTGTGGGTGGGCTCTGAAGGCCAGGAGAAAAAGGCCTCTATGTACCTCAAGCTATCTCTCTGCCGAGAGCTCTGTTATGACATGAAGACTTCATTTGTGCACCTCCTGTGTCCAAGTTCCCTGCACTTATCCTGTCTTTGTTAGAATATGTTCCAGTGCTCAAATAACCTGCTACAATTAATTCAAGGGTCCTCCTGGCAGACAACTAGGGAGCTGAACCTAATGAAATTATTCATTATTGGCAATGATACCTCCCTGGGTTTCCAGAAGCTTGCTAAATCAAAGCACATGTGTAATAATACTAGGCTTCCTGTCATCTAGAGCTGGTGAAACTCATCAGATTTTGAAACTTTGACCTCTCCTAGTTGGGCCCTGGGTGGCTGTGTTTCAGGGTTCAACACAGGACCTGGGTACTGACCATGAGCTCAGAGCAGAAGCTCAGTTCTTTATCATTTGGTGTCACAGATTTACTTCTGGTATCTGTGTGTATATGTGTGTGTGCATGTATGTGTGTTCATATACTGGTCCTGGAGCTTCAACTCAGGACCCCAACCCCTGCAAAGCTGTTGCTGCTACCCAATTTCCTGCCACTGCAACTCAGCAATTACAGTCACAATTACCCTTTCCCTGGTATTTCCTTTCTCTGCTACTCATTTGGCTACCCATAATTCTTATCATCATGGTTCCAGCCACCTGATTCCTGACACCCTTTTCTCTGCTACCACATTCCCAAACAAAGCAAGGCAAGAGTAGGCACAGACAGTTGACTTCGTACTCCTCTTGCAGGCACAATGGGACTTTATTCTTCAGGTATTTATCCTGAGGGACTAACTAGTGGTGGAAAGAGAAGAGGTTACTCAGAGGGGACTAAAATCCAAGGATATCAATTTATAACTTGTTGCTAGGAAAAGCAGTCCCTAAGGTGAAAGTTAATGAGAAAAGAAAATTTGACAAAAATATTGGGGATGATATAAAAGGTTTAGCTTAGTCTCTTGTGTCAGTGATATAAATTATTTTATGACATAGATATGTAACTATTTTGCATTTTAAAAAGTATATGAAGATTCACAATTATGTGGTACTTATATTAATTTATGTAATAGTTGCATATGATCATGTTAATGATATTCAATAGTTTATGCTTTATGATATGCTTATTACTCTGCAATATGAATTGAGCTCTCTAAAAATAAATGGAATTGCATTGTCAAATACTACAAGATTACTGAGGCTAATACCAAAACGAAAGCTGGTAAAAAAAAAAAAAAAAAAACAACGAACAAAGCTACAAGTTTGAAGGGAAGGGGTCAGTGGTAAGGGCTATGATAAAAGAGAAATTCTTCACCATGGAATCTTGGAAGAATAGAATGTGTCTTGTTGAATTACTAGCTTTTTAAACATTCTTAGAAAGCAGAACATGATTTTTGATTCTTGCTTTTTGGAACCTCTTTAATGAGTAGTTAAACAAAAAATGATCGAAATGACTGAAAATCCACTGACATGAATTATTAGATTAACATACTCAAAGTTGCCTTGAGATGCAGGCAGGCTGGATTCATTTCCTATTAAATTAATGGAATAAGCTTCCTTTTGAATGGTTGGACACTCCATGACACTTGTTCCAAAACAAGAAAAGATACTGGAGAGAAAAAAAGATGAAGGAGACTCTAAAGGCTGCTGAAATTAGCATATTTCCCATTTGGACATTAATGGGTTGTTACTACAAAGAATTAGAATTTCATCTTAAGATAATTTCAAAATAGATGTGCTAAAGGATAGCTTCGAAATGTAATATTTAATGTTGTTGGATTACTTGAAGATAAAGGTTTACAGAAAACTTTAAATTCCAGTGAACTGTAATGTACCAATAAACACCTAGAACAAATATAATTTAAAAATTCACCTGTTCAAAGCAAACCCTGGCAGGAAAGTCTCTGAGTCACTTATCTCCAAATAGGGAGTGGCATTGTGGCTCAATTGGGAGAAAGCTCCCCTTGTGCTCAAGAATTCAGGGATATGTTAATACCCAGGCCCTGAGTTCAATCCCCATGACTGACAAGAAGAAATTTTTTTTTTTTTTTTTTTTAATGATTGATTTCTTTATTGAATTAAAATTAGGCTATATAAAACAATTTCTGTACAGAGGGATCAAATGTATCATAATATAGTTATCTGTATATTACAAGTTACAGTCATTATGATTATGAAATTTACATAAGACATTGCCCCAAAAGTTTGTTATTTGGCTATTCTTGTTCGAAGTCGTCGTTTGAGAATCTGGTGATCACTCTCCTTTACTTTCTGCTCCATGAAAATCACTTGGCCAGAAATATCAATAGGAGATGAAATTTCATTTGTGTACAATTTCCTTTTGGTTCTTTTTGGTTGAGACATATTTTCTTTACTTGCTTCTACATTTGAGAGCTTTGGCGAACTCATTGTTTCTATTATCTTCTTTGCTTTTGACTGAAGAATTGTTGGAGAGTGTTGTAAGAAGTCTCCAAATTTCTGTAGTGTTCCTTCTTTTTTCTTAGTGGATAAGTTTACACTAACTGAGGGTGCCTGACTCCGTAAAGAATATGTTTTCTTAGACGATGGACGCATGGAAACCTTTTGTTCCTTTTTGACAGGAGAATTTCTAGGAATTCCTAGGAACTTAGGTGTAGCGTTCTTTTTATTTTCACATTTCACCAAGTCCTCATCCATTTCGCTACTCTTCCTCTTTCGAGCCTTGGAAATCTTAACTGTCACTGGTGTGGCACAACCAGGATGTTTCACTGCCATTTTGTTTGGCTGTAAAGGTGTAAACTGAATCTCTAATTCAGGTTTTGGAAATCGAGTACTGGGTTCATTTTCTGTTGATACTTCACATGAATCGAGAACTAAAGATCCATCCTCTGATGCACTCCTAGGAATTTCAAAACTTGTCGGCTGATTTTCAGTTTCAGTGATGCCAGGTTCTGTGGAACTATTACGTCTAGGCTGGAGATCTGTGGGTGGTTTTTCTATTTCAGAAAGTTCTGATGTAAACTTTTTCAGTTGTTCAATTTCATGATCTTTCTGTGTATTACTGGAGATCAGTGCTTTCAGCTGTATTTCTAAAGCTGTAACCAGCTGATCCCGCTCTTCTCTCCATTTTTGAAGGTCATTATTTTTCTCTGCCAACTGTGAGGTCAGTATTTCCACTTCAGTTTGTTGCTTTAAACAACGCTCTCTATCTTCAGCATACTTCTTCATCTCTTTGTTTCTCAGATTCTCAGCTTCTTTTGCTTGTGTTATAAGCATCATTTTTTCTTCTAGCCATTTCTTTCTGTCAGCTTTATATTTATCTTCAGCTTCCTGTAACTCATCATGAAGCTTACAGAGCTTTATATTAAGGACATCAGAGTTATCCTCATCATTATTTGGCCGTTGATTATTTTTGGTTTCTAGGTCTTTGCATTTTTCCTTCCATTTTTCCAATTCTGTGGTCAGCCAATTAGCTTCTTCTAATCTAGCTTCCAGTACCTGGTCTTGTTCTACTTGAGTTTGCTCTTGTTCTGCCAGTGTCATTCGCATGTCGTTAATAATTTTCTCTTTAATATTTAGTTCTTTGCACATTTCCTCATATTGTTGTCTGGTGTCTTCCATTTTCTGAATACTTAACTGTTCCTTGAGTTGTTGAATAGTTCGTTGTTTCATATCTATTTCCTGTGAATACTGGTTTTTCTTTTTCTCCAGTTCATTAATCTTAAGCCTCTGTAATTTCTCCTCATCGCGCATTACAGATACCTCTTTCTGTACTTGTTCAATTTGCTTTTTGGCATCAACCAGTTTCTCTTTTAGCTCAGCATAATCTTCTTCCTTTCTCTGAAATTTTAAAGAATTAAACCATTAGGGACAGAAGGAGACTCAGTGGAAGAATGTTTGTCTTGCATGAATGAGGTCCTGGGTTAAATTCCTCAGCACCACATAAGCAGAAAAAAACTGGAAGTGGCACTGTGTCTAAAGTGATAGTGCGCTAGCCTTGAGCTGAACAGCTCAGGGACAGCACCCAGACACAGAGGTTAGGCCCCCCTAGCAACAACAACAACAAAAATTAAAGCCTCAAACAGCCTGAAGATATTTTCCAGAATAATGAATGCAGCATTATCCGTTTACATGACTTAGTGAATTGAAACCTAGTTTACCAGGGGAGATGGTGGGCATTTTGGGTGTGTGCCAAAGCCTACAAAATTATTTTGTACTTTCCCAGGGAGGGAGAAAGGAGGAAATGAGGGGGGGGTGTGAGGTGTTTGGTGGACTTGCCCTTTGATTCACTGATTGTTTTCTGGAGTTAAATTCAGAGAAATTCTGCTTGCAATCCTAGTTGCAAGGGGAATGAAGAAGCCATGTCCTGGAAGTGGTTTTGTCCTCTCCTTGGCCTGGTTCTAGCCACCATTGGATAATCCAAGTCCCACTTCAGGACCAAGATGCCTTGAAGACTACTGATCCATTGAGCAGATGGACCTAACCGCAGCCAGAATAGGCAGAAAATGCAATTCAGAGGGCAACACTGGAAATCTACAGCAGGCAGAGATTTTTTTATATATTTTTATTGTAAAAATACTGTACAGAGGGCTCAGAGTTACAGGAATAGGTAATGAGTACATTTCTTATACAGCATTGTTACCTCCTCCTTTGTTTTTCCCCTGCCATCTTTTCCCTCCCCACATCTCCAACTCCTCCCTCCTCGACCCCTGCCTGACACTGCAAATTCATTTTCGACACAGTGTCCTCTACATCTCATTGTCACAATGGGTCAAACTGCATCCCCATTTAACATTCTGCCATATCCCTTCCACTCTCCAAATTACAAATATATATGATATATGATATATATACATATAATATATATACATATATATATATATGTGTATATATATGATGCAGAACACTTGAATCAAATACAGTGGAAACAGGGCTATACCGTGGGTGGATGAACCTACAAGAGATTCACAGAGTGCATTATGAGCATATTAAAAACAAAAGAAAGAAAGGAAAAACCACTTGTGTCTCTGACTTGGGGTACATTTCGCTTAACATCATCTTGTATGGTTATATGTTCTTAGTCTTTGATCTTCTTCGCTTGTCCTAGGCATGTTCTAATCCTTGCAAACAAAGGTAAAACAAGGTAAACCATGGGTCCTATGTTTCTTTGGGTCTGCTTACTTCACTTAATGTAATTTTTACCAAGTCTTTCCATTTCCTAACATATGGAGCAATGTCATTCTTTCTGATGGAAGCATAGAATTCCAATGTGTGTGTGTGTGTGTGTGTGTGTGTGTGTGTGTGTGTGTGTGTGTGTGTGTGTGTGTACCACATTTTCTTGTTCCATTCATCTGCTGAGGTGCATCGGGTTTGGTTCCATATCATAGCTATGGTGAATAATATTGCAATAAACATGGTTTTGTTGGTAGCTTTGTGATCATTTGGGTAAGTGCCCAAAAGTGGGGTTGCTGGGTCATTGGGGAGCTCTAATGGAGTCTTTTGAAGAAATTCCATACTGCTTTCCAAAGTGGTTAAACAAGTTTACACTCCTACCAATAATGTAGTAGGGTTTCCTTTTAGCCACATCCCCAACAGCATCTGTCATTATTACATTTCTTGATTATAGCCATTCTAACTGGAGTAAGGTGCAATCTCAATCTGATTTGCATTTCTTTTATGACTAGAAAAGTTAAGCATTTCTTCATGTGTCTAATAGACATTTTTTATTTCATCTTCAAAGAAATCTCTCCTTATGACTTCAGCCCACTTAGTTTTTGGGCAGTTGTTCCTTTGAGGATTTTTTGTTGGGGGAATTTATGATTTTGAGTCCTAAGTATATTTTAGATATAAACCTTAGTCTGTTTTATGACTCATGAAGTACTTCTCCCAGTAAGTGGGCTTTCGATTATTTGCTATTTATGAGCTGTACCTTGCAGAAGCTCTACTGTTTCATGCAACCCCATTTCTCCAAACTTCTTTGATTTGTTTTGTTTCTGGTTCTCTATTAAGAACATTTTGGCCTGTGCTAAAGAGCCTTGGAGTTTCTCTTATCCTTCATGTAATGTTTTCACGGTGTCAGCTTTTATTTTGAGGTCTTTGATCCATTTTGCCTTACTTCTCATGCAGGCTGATATATATATATATATATATATAGATAGATAGATAGATAGATAGATAGATAGATAGATAGATAGATAGATAGATATAGATATAGATATAGATATAGATAGATATAGATATATATGTATATATATGGATCTTGCTTTACTTTTCTACAGGTGTTTAAAAAATTTTGCCAATACCATTTACTGAAAAGGCTGTCTTTCTTCCATTCTATTTTTTTTTAGCTCCATTGTCAAAGATCAAGTGGCTATAGGGCACTTGGTTCATTTCTGAGTCTTCAGTCCTATTCCATTGGTCCTCAGGTCTGTTCTTGTGCCAGTACCAAGATGTTCTTATTACTATGGCTTTTCACTATAGTTTGAAATTGGAGCTGATATTGTTCCAGTGCTGTTCTTTTGGCTAAGGACTGACGAACCTACAGCCAGCAGTATACTTAATGGTAAAAAGTTAAAGTCATTTCTTATAAATTCAGGAAAGAGATAAGTATGTCTGCTCTCTCCACTCCTCTTCAACTTAGTATAAGAATGCTAGCTGGGACAATAAGACAAGATGCAAAATTAAAGGGAATCCAAATAGGGGAAGATGAAGTAAAACATACAAGATGACCAATGGAATAGAATTGAAAACCCAGAAATCAATCTACAGACCCATAGGCATCTAATTTCGATAAAGGAACTAAAAAAAAATAGAATGGAAGAAAGACAGCCTGTTCAGTAAATGGTGCTGGCAAAATTGGTTAACTGCTTGTAGAAAAATAAAGCTAGAACCTTATTTATCACCCTGCACCACAATCAACTCCAAATGGATCAAAGACGTCAGAGTCAAAGCAGACATTCTGAAAATACTGCAGGATGAAATAGCAGAAACCCTAGGTCTCCTTGGCACAGGCCGAAATTTTCTTAATAGAGATCCAGAAACACAAAAGATCAAAGACAAATGGGAAAGATGAGATTGCATGAATTTCAGAGCTTCTGCAAGGCAAAGGACAAAGCTAGCAAGATCAATAGAAAGACCATGGATTGGGAGAAGATCTTCACTGGCCATACAACGGACAAGGGTCTCATACCTAAAATATATTTGGACTCAAAAAATTAAATCCACCAACAACAAATCCTCAAAGAAACAAATGCCCAATTAATAAGTGGGCTAAAGACTTAAAGGGAAACTTCTCTGAAGAGGAAAGAAGGATGGCCAATAAATACATGAAGAAATGCTTAACCTCTCTAGCCATAAAAGAATTGCCAATAAAAACAACATTGAGGTACCACCTCACCCCAGTTAGAATGGCTATAATCAAGAACTCTAATAACAACAGATGCTGGAGGGGATGTGGACAGACGGGAACCATACTACATCATTGGTGGGAGTGAAAACTTGTTCAACCACTGTGGAAAGCAATATGGAGGTTCCTCAAAAGACTCCTCATAGAGCTCCCCTATGACCCAGCAATCCCACTTTTGGGCATTTACCCACATGATCAAAAAGAAGACCATACTAAAACTACCAGCACACCTATGTTTATTGCAGAATTATTTACAATAGCTATGATATGGAACCAAACCAGAGACCCCTCAGTAGATGAATGGATCAAGAAATTGTGGTATATATACACTATGGAATTCTATGCTTCCATCAGAAAGAATGACATTGCCCCATTTGTTAGGAAATGGAAAGTCTTTGAAAAAATTATATTAAGTAAAGTAAGCCAGACCCAAATAAACAAAGTTCCCATGGTCTCTCTTATTTGCAGTAAATAGAATATGTCTCTGTCAAGCAGAATAGGACAGATAATTTGATGTTAGGGAAATGAACCCTAAGATATGTATTCAAATGTTTTTTTTTCTTTCATGAGATTGTTTCTAACACATTTATAAGATCATTTCTTTGTCACTTTGTATGTGCCTCCCCCATGGTATAACCCCTGCTTTAACTGTATTTGATGTCGGTATAATTTCTGGAGGGGAATGGCAAATACAAATCATTTAACTAGGGATACAGGTGGACCTATTGCAACAATGAGATGTACAAGTCATTATGTCAAAATTGAACTTTACAACTTTGGTTGTGGGGAGGAGGATTGGGTGGCGGCGCAAGGGGAAGATGGGAAGAGATGGATCCTTGAATCAAAGTAGGAGGCTACAACGCTTCAGAAGAAATGTACTCATTATCTTGCCCAGGTAATTTTAACCCCTCTGTACAGTATTTTCACAAAAAAAATAATAAATTTTTTTAAAAAAGAAGAAAACAAAACCTGAAGATGACATGATCTTGTATTTAGTGGACTCCATGGACTCCACACCCAATTTACTTGAGCTGATCAAAAACCTTGGCCAATTAGCAGAATATAATTTTGTTTCAATAAAACCAACCAAGAAAGGAATAAAAAATAAACAACAAAGGAATACACAGTTGGAAATTTGGGCTAATTTTGTCATTATGTTTTGAGAAGTCAAGTTCACTATAAAAATGCAACTCATATATAATGCTCAGTTGTGTTTAAATTGTTGTCTTAATTACACAACATTTCTGCATGCAAAAGAGCTTATGATTCCCAACCAAAAATTTGAAAAGTTAAGCATCATTCTGTTAGATTCCAAAGAAATGATGAAGGATTACAAAAGTTTAAGCCTGGAGAAATAGGAAAGTTCATTTAATGTAGGACTTTGTTGACCTGGCTAAATTAGAATTTAGATTTAAAATAGATGTTTTTTTGTTTGTAATTT